ACCTACCAGGAAGCCCCTCAACAGAAAGGCCTGGTGACCTGTGCTGAGAGCCCTGCGGCCAGCCCCACACAAGCCATAGCACCCAGTCAACCGACACTTAGGGAGGGCCAGCCTCTGGACCCCAGAACGTGCTTGGCACCTATACCAGGCCCTACCCTCAGCAGGTAGAAACCCTGGCCTGGAGGCGTGGGACCAGCAGCTTGTAACACCCACACCTGCGGGTCCAGGGCAGGGCTTCCCGGGGGCCCCAGGGCACACGAAGTCCCAAAGAGAAAGTCTTCCTGGGGACGGGCAGAGAAGACTGCAGCGTCCTCTTAAACAAGTTCTTTCAAAAACTACTCCCACTTGGCACTTAAATTACAGAAAGAAGTTCCTGCTCAGTCATTCCTGGGGACACAGGCTGACCTAGGAGCTATTGTGGGCTTGTCCAGGACCCCACCCCCACCCCAAGAAAACAAACCTCTGTTTGAGCCACACTCACCCGGGCTTCTGTAAAAGTCAGGTCCACCCTAGGCTGCAGTCTGTGAGGAGCCCAGTGCGGCCCTGGCTCAGGTGCTGCTCTGCTGACCTCAAAGTCCAGTATTCAAAATTGCAAGCCACTCCGAGGGAGAGAGCGGAGGCTGTGTGCCCCAGTGCAGAGTGAGTCCCTGCTACGGGTGCCCCCTGAGAGTCTCGGGGGAGGGCGAGGGTGGGTGTCTGGTGTAGACAGTCTATCAGGCCTGCTGTGAAACACGGGGAAATGCTGTGAGAGTGACAGTGTGTGGCCCAGGGACACAAGATGGCACCTGCTGCTGGGAGACGGCAGGGGCAACCCCAGGCCTCTGTTGGTGCGACGCGGCAGTCAGGTGTGCTGGATCGGGCACACCTGCTACGGAGGACAACCTCCAAGTGAGAGTTAAGACAGACTCACGGCCCAAACCATGTGCACCCCGGGCCCAGGTGTGAGAGGGCCAAGGAACTTGCCGGGGGGCGGTGTGTTCACTTCATGTGCAAAGGGAACCCTGAAGGGACAGGCGAGGAACTCAGGACGGGGCGGCAAGCCCGAGGAGAGGGGCCCGGGACCGACAGTCCCTGAGGAATGTGTGTGTGGGGGGGGGGGGGGGGGGGGGGCTCGATCGGGGAAATGTGCTGAGCCACGTCAGATGCGTCCCCGGGAGCAGAGTTTGAGGGGTCCTCTGGGCCCAATGCTCACATGAGCCGCAGTCACAGGTCAAAGGTCTATGTGCACACATCCGTTTGCTTTTCTTTTTTCAAACGGACACCTTGAGAGGCCCAGGATTGGAAAGCAGGTTAAGCATTGGGCTGCCAACCTCACCTCGCGGTGCAGAAGATGGGGCTTCATCCAGCCCCAAAGGGCAGTTCTGGTTCTGTCCTAGAATGAGCAGCGTTGGAACGGACTAGATGGCAGTAGGGTTACGTGGGGGTTACGAATAGCCACATAAAGATCCTTTGGAATGGTGGTGGTTAATTAGGCTGCTAACCACCGATGAGCCATTGGAAGCCACCAGCAGGGAAAGATACATTCTGCTCCTCTAGACGACTCAGAAACTCAGTTCTACCCTGTCCTATGGGTCGCTGGGTTGGAAGACTCAAAGGCAGTAAGAGTATCCTTAAATCTCTCTGCCTCCAAAAAGTCGCACCTTTGGAAACCGTACAGAGCAATTCTAAACTGACCCTAGCCCCCCACCCACCCACCACACACTTTGCCTCCAAGATTATTTCTCACAAGGAAGTCCCTGGAGCCTGGGGGTGCTCACATCGCCACCATTTCCTGGAACCCCTTGTATAAGTTTCCTCCAGTGACAGGACAGCTCCACCCTTTCCCCCCCGACACTTTGTTGAGAGTGTGTTCTTGTGTGTGTATCCGCACACATCGCTTTGTGTGTTTCATGATCCCGGAGGCACACTGCGGCGAACTGTAGTAAAGCCTCCTACACGGAGTCATTTACTCCAACACTTGTCTTCCAGCCCAGGCAGTGTTTTCTCTACCTCGGTGTTTGTTGACAAAGAAGTGCCTTTCGGTTTGTCGACAGATCATTTTCTGTTCATTCTTGCTCCCATTTTTACTGCAGCAGAAAGAATAAGTGCTTGCCTGGTGGTAGATTTTTTTTTCTTCCTCCTGCTGCTGCTACCAGCACAGGGGAAACTTTACAAGGGCTTTCCAAATATTTGTCCTTGCTTAAGGAAATAACAAAAAAAGCACTGGTTTGAGCAGCACATTCCTTTAAACACCTTTGCGGGTAGGAAAAACCAAAGGCTAGCAGAGGTTTGTATTGATGGTCTTAAATGCCTGGCCAGTCTGCACGGCTTTCCTGCTGTGATGGACAAATCTCGCGGAGCAGAACACACTCCACACTGACCAAAGGTGGCTGGCCCTTCAAGTAGGTCTGGGGGTTGGTTTGGTTCGGTCGGAGGTTGGCTTTTGCAGGTCTGTGAGGTGGGTGATGAGGCTGCGGTCGATCTCAGCTGCCCCTTCTGTGACTGCTCACCTGCGGTGGTTATTGTGAATGGGGGCAATTTCTTACCTGGGAACGGAGGAGCCCTGGTGGTGCCCTTAGGGGGCGGAGGGGCCTAAACCGAAAGATCAACACAACAGTTCAATCCCACCAGCCTCTCTGCAGGAGAAAAATGAGGCTGCCTGCCCCTGTTGAGATTTACAGCCTCAGGAACCTGATGCAGGGTCGCTATATGTCCAATTGGACCCAATGTCAGTGAGTTTAGGTATTTTGGGTTTTTTTTTCCTGAGTCATTTTAACAAAGCTAGATACTTATAATCTGCGGATCCAGGTGGCCAGACACAACCCTCGCAGGTTGTAATCCACTGGCCGTGAGCAAACAGAAATGGAAGCAGATGTTGTGTCAGCCCCTCACCCGCCTCCCTCTTCCCTCAGGACCCCTGGGGGCTAGACGGGGTGGGGAGGGGTGGGCAAAGACTAGCTGGCTGAGACGGAGCCTGAATCTAGGTATTCAATATGAAACTCACACCCAACCAAGGGCTGGCGTGGGTTGATGCCAACTCACAGCACCCCCGTGTGTGCCCTGGCAGAACTGTGCTTTCCAGGGCTGATGACCAGGTTTTCCTGGCACAGGGCTGTTGGCTGGGTTCGAATCCCCAACCCTGTCATCAGTGGTCGCGTGCAAACCCCTCACACCACCCAGGAGCCCCCGGGTTGTTGTGGAGCCATTATCACCTCCTGAGCAGCTCCTTCCTCTCGCGGGTACCAGGGCTGTGGCTAGGTGTGTTGGTGAGATCCTGTCAGTGGGTCACACTGTATGTGGTGGGCACTGAGGAAGCCTCATCGCTTTCCTCATACCCTCTGAGACCCAGGATGGCAGGACCCCTTGACTGTGGTACGTGCCCTCTCCTGGTCCTAGCCACACCAGAGTCCATCTCCTGGGTGGAACACAGCACTCAAAACTCAAACTCACTGCTATGGAGTTGATTCCAACGCCCCACGACCCTAGAGGGTAGGGCAGAACTGCCCCAGGGGGGTTCCTAGAGTTTTGAATCTTTTCGGAAGTAGACAGACTCACGTGCTCCCTCAGAATGGCTAGCAGCAAACAGCTTAGTGGATCGCTTGAGACCCTCCTCCTGAGCTTAGGGTTGAGGTAGCGCCCCGCTGGCTCCAGAACAGGTCCCCAAGGTCAGAGCATTTACTCACAGTTGCCGCTTGGCGGCTCCCCACCCCCACCCCAGAGACCCGGGAAAAGGAGTGATATTTCAAATCACACCTTTGACTGTAAGGTGGACCCTGGGCCCACTTACTGCAGTGGAGGCAGAGCATCCCTACATGCTAGCAATGCACACAGACTTCAGCAGGATGTTTCCCTAGATGTCACTCTGCCATGGGAATGCCCAGTGGGTGCCCACGCCTGGGAGCCATCCAGGTGTCTCTGAGCCACCCCTGGGGAGGAAGCAGCCACTCTCGCTCCCAAACGGCGGAGCGCAGTGTGCACGGTGAGTGCCCATGCCAAGTCTGACAGTGTTTGCAGGCTCCTGGCTGGCCAGCTCAGCCCCCTCCCGCAGCCCTGCAGGAGACGGTACCTCCCAGGTGAGGGTACCAAGCCCAGAGGAGCCGCAGTTCAGACCTCCCTGCAGGTCCCCCATCAGCAGCCCCTGCGCCAGCTTGGTCCCGCAGGAAGGCGGAGAGCTTTTTATTATTATTTATGCAAAATATAGACAAGGAGAGATGTGCTAACCGCACCATGTGACAGCGGCCAGGGAGCTGCTTGCCAGCCTCATGAATCAGCTGGGCGGCTGCCAAAGATCCTGGAGGCTGTTGGCGGGGAGGTCTGGGGAAGCCAGGCACCCCCTCGCTCCCCTCCACCCACCCTGTGAGCTCACTGATGCTGGGTGAGGTCTGGCATGAAGGGACTGAGAGGGATGCCCTCTGCCGGGGTGGAGTCAGGGTGTGGGGGGGCTGGAGGAAGCAGCATTGGCTGGGATCGATGGCCTCAGATTATTTCTGCTATGACAGACTGTCCGGGTGAAATGGGGTAAACTGAGGCACACCCTGAGATGGGGGGAGATGGGAGGCAGGGGCCTGGCAACTGGGACCACGGGCCATTTGGCCTAAAGGGGAGGGGAGGGGTACTGCCTGGCAGAACCTGCGAGTCCGTTTTGCCCCTGTGCTCCACCTCGCCCACAGGACAGCCCTGGGCCAGAGGGCTCCCAGCTTCGGAGGGTCGACCGGCTGCTAACCTAATAGTTGAGGGTTCAGATACACCCCATGGTGTCATGGAGGAAAGGCCTGGTAGTCCTTCATAACAGGACACACACACACACACAGGATGCCACTACATGTCGCCACCAATCTGACAGCAAAAGGCTTGGGTTTGGTCTAGAACTCCGCTTGCGTTCCCCCAGAGGAGCCCCGGTAGCTTAGTGGTTAAGCGCTGGCCTGATCCACATCACCGGCAGTTCAAAACTACCAGTGGCTCCACGGAGAAAGATAGGGCTTGCTTTCAGCAGCGACAGTCTCAGAAACCCTATGAGTCAGCACGGACTCGAGGGCAGGGAGGGAGGGAGGGTCCGGAACCCTAGGAGCCTTGGTGGCAGAGTGGTTACACATTGGACTGACGCCAGCAAGGGCAACAGTTCTAAACCACCAGGGGCGCCTCGGGAGAAAGATGGGCTTTCTACTCCTGTAAGGAGTAAGTCTCAGAATCCTCAGGCTGGTGCCAGTGGCTGGCAAACAGAACCTTCCATGCTGCAGGGAAGGGTCGCAGGGGGCACTCAGTTCATGAGGGTGTTGTCAGGAGGGGGGGGCACCAGCTCCTGCCTCCACTTTCAGCTCCTGTCACCGTGAGGGTGCCTTCAAGCCTGTGCGGACAGCAGTCTGGGGACCAGTGGTCGGCACACAGCGACTCTGATTTCAGGGCTGGGTCAGAACTCCATGGGCAAGGAGAATACAGAAAACCATCCTCCAGAAGTACTGGGCCAGGGGGCCCCTTTGCACCCAGGGTCTCCCACAACCTCTAGCAGCACCCAGACACAGCACAAAGCAGGGCTGAGGGGCATCTGGTGGCTTCATGATACATGCCAGGCAGCAGGCCCCACGCCAGCAGCTGAGGTCTCTGGGGCCCTTCAGTCAATCACACAACAACGGAGGGTGGGCTCGGCCCCAGAGTCCCAGCCCCAGGCCACAGGGCATGGTGACACCAGGTGAGGTGGGAGGTGACACAGGGAGCAGGGTCTCACAGGGGGTGAGGATGCAATGAGGTGGGCCTGCAGGGGCGCAGGAGGTAGGGACACAGAGAACAGTGACATAGAAGAAGGAACAAAGTGGGCAGAGACACAGGAAGGGCGCACAGTGGGGCAGGGACTCACAATCGGGAACACGGGCTGAGGGCACGGAGTGTGACCAGGCCCCCTGGAAGGGTCATGACCCAGGTCTGGTGGGCTGGGTCCAGGGCTCCCTGAAGCCCACCCCTGTGGATCCCCTAGGAGGCCCAGGCAACAGTACAGCATTTTATTGAGCAGACTCAGCAACAGGAAGAGTTGGGGTGGGGCTGGCTCTGGGGCAGAGTGGGGAAGCTCCAGGGTACCCCCACTGCGGGCAGCCCCACCACCACTACGCCCCCAACTCAGCAGGGTGGACAGGAGGCAAGGTTGTAGGTCCAGGCTTGGCCGGGCTGGGGAGGCACAGCGTGCAGGGCGGTGGGGCTTGCAGAAGTTGAGGTTCACCACACTGAGCACTTGTGGGCAGGGTTCATGGGCGAGTCCTTGGGGCAGTGGAAGGCCCGGCCAAACTCCTCGAACTGAGACACGCTGCCCAGCACCCTGGGGACAGGAAGGGAGGCTGGGCCCAGCAGCCAGGCAGGGGGTGCTCTGCCCCCTCCCCTGCTCAGAGGTTCCGACCACAGCCTGGAGGAGGGGCAAGGCCAGGCAGCAGCCCTACCTGTAGTGCTCAGGTGCGTGCTTGTCAGTCAGCACCTGCAGGTAGATGGACTGTGACCGCCGCTTGATGCACCAGTTCTGGGTCCGGGAAGTGGGGCATGGATGAGCCTTGGCACCCATGGCCCAGCTGCCCAACTGACACCCCATCCCTGCCCCAGAAGCCACTTGGAACCATCGTCTCTTGAAGGGCAGCTGATGGGGCAGGCTGGTTTCAAGGATGTTGTGCCCCCTCCCCCAGGGTCCCCAGCCCCGATCCCCAGGGGACAGGCTGGTTCCAAGGTCTAAGACTGGCCTGGGTGCTGTGCCCCACCCCCAGGGTCCCAGCCCAACCCCCACTCCTGCTCCCCAGGGGACAGGCTGGTTCCAAGGACTGAGACTGGGCCTGGAAGCTGTGCCCGCCTCCAGGACCCCCAGCCCGGCCCACCTGGGCGAAGGCGATGAAGAAGAGCTGGTTGTGCGTATACTTGAGGCGGTGCAGGGGGTGCTCAGGGCCATGCTCCCGCACCCACTTCTGATAGGCCTGGGGGGTCGGATAGCAGGCTCTGAGGCTCCCTGACTGCGCCTGCGCCAGCTGCTGTCCCCTCCCCTTCCTCTCCACGCCGGCCCCACCCCTACCCCCCACCGGCAGAGGGCTGGCCCCTGCACAGCAAGATCCCCACTGGGGTGGGTGCTCGAGCTCCCTGCTCCCCCCTCAAACATGAATCTGTAACCCGTCCTCTTCCCAGGACCCTCTGCCCAACACAGGCCCCGCCCTGCCTCGCCCCCGGGGCCCAGAGTCCCCGGAGCTCAGCTCAGAGCCCACGCCCTTCCCAAAGGCAGGCTGGGAGGAGGGCCAAGATGCAGGGACCACTCACGTAGTAGGCGAGCTTCAGACCACCCATGTCCGCGATGTTCTCCCCAAGCGTGTGCTTCCCATTCACCTGCAGAGACCCAGGAGCCTGGAGCCTGGCTGCATGCCACCACCACCCCGACACCCCCACGAGCTTGGGGAGTGGGCAGGGAAGCCCTCTTGGGCACCGGCTGCAGGGCCTGGCACGGCTCCATTGGCACTCTTGCGGTTGTGGCCCAGTGGGCTGGGCTGCGGGCGGGGGGCCTCACCCGCTGGTTGTAGACGGTGAAGTTGTCGTAGAGGCGGACGATGCACTCAGCCTTGCGCAGGAAACGGCTGTAGGAGGCCTCCGTCCACCAATGCAGCAGGTTCCCCGATCGGTCGTACTGGCCCCCTGTGGGCAGTGGGCGGGAAGGAGCAGGCACCCAGTGAGCCCCCATCCACTCACCAGCCAGCACAGCAGCCTCGTGGACCCGCCCCAGACCCTCCCCGGCCCAGGGCCTCACCCCAGTCATCGTAGCCATGGGTCAACTCGTGCCCGATGATGGTCCCGATGCCTCCGTAGTTCAGAGACCTGGTTGGGGAGGGGGGGGGGCAGCAGCAGGCGCAGGCCCCAAGCCTTGAGGGCCCTCACTGCTGCCCAGGCCCCGGGAGGCCCCCAGGAAGGGCCACAGCAGGGTTGACATGGTCCGGGGACACCACGCCTCAGCTTTCGCAGGAACACATAAAAGGGGCCAGTGACCCCTGTCCAGCTGCCTTCTAAGCAGTGCTGCCTTGGGGGCAAGTGAGGCCATGTGCGGTCGACCTCCGGTCTCATAACTAGGACCGCTCACCGGCCACGGGAACAAAGATGAGAGAAGGGGGTGTGTGGACGGACACCCCCCTACACCTGGGGGGTCGGTATGGGCTCTAGAGACCAGGATCTGTCATAGTCTGCACCCAGAAAGAGGCGCCCAGGCACCCCCAGCCAGCTCAGGGCACTCTGAGCCCCACCCCAAGCCCAGCATGGGGAGGACAGGGTGTCATCTCCCCTCACCGCCCTCTGTCCCATCAACCCACACTCACTGGGGGAAGTCAGGGTCGTAGAGCGTGGGTTGCAGGATTCCGGCTGGGAACACTGCAGGAGGCGTGGCTACAGTCAGCCCTGCCCCCTGCTCAGCCCCCGCCTCCCCTCTTCCCAGGCCCTGTGCCTTGTCTGGGACCTGCCCCCTCACCCATCTGGTTCTTGTTGGGGAGGTAGTAGGCGTTGAGGGCCTGTGGGGGGAGCAGCCACCTGGGGAGAAAGACCAGGTCAGGGCCGCTGCAGGCCACACCCCCTCTGCCATGACACCCCATCCACCAGCTGAAGCCTGCTCAGCCACAAAGGGCTCCCAGGTACCTCATCTGGGCCTCTCTAGGCTGCCTTGCACCCCCACACCAGCCTCCTGACACTGCCTGCCACCACCCCCAGCCCCACCCCCACCAGCCCCGCACAGCCGGACACCCACGTGGACTTGTCCACCTCCTGCCGGATCTTCTTGACTGAGAGCTGGATGCTGAAGCGGATACTATTCAAAATGTTCTTGAAGTAGGTCTTCTCGTGGACCTCAAACTGCAGGACGGGCAGTGCTCAGGCACTGGCCAGGGCAGGGCCTGGGCCCACACGCCCAGGGTTGGCTTCCCCCCCTGTGATGGGCACTTGGTCAGGGCAAGGAGGCCAAGCGGGATGGGCAGGAGCACTGGCCCACCTCATACTCCTTGTCCACGGCTTCTGGCTTGAGCAGGAGGTCTGGGTAGCCGACCATCACCATCATGTACTGCAGCTATGGGAGGGGGGCCGGGGCTCAGCTCCAGGGTGGGGCAGGCCGGGCTCAGCAGGCTACCCCACTCAGGAGACCAGCATCTCTCTGTTTTCCTCTTCCCCAGCACCTGGCACACAGCTGACGCTCAATAAACGCATGCGGAAACCAAGCACCCACCTTGGCCTGAGCAGCTGCCTTGGTCTCGGCGTCCATCCAGTCCAGTTCCTCCAGGCGCTGGCCCAGGATGTACTTAATGTCTTCCACCAGCTGCTGCACCTACAAGCCAGGGGCCAGGAGCCTCCATTGTGGGTCCAGAGCAGCTGGTTGGAGTGGGGAGGGGCAGGCCTCACCACTATCTGAACCCAGCCATCCACACTGGACACCCTGGAGGTGGGCTCCAGCCCTGAGGACTCAGCAATAAGCCTCCACCCCAGCTACAGCTCCCTACATGCCCGCCTGCCATGCATGGCAGCAGAGGGAGGCAGGAGTGGAGGGTTTCATGACCTGGCAAGCTCCCTGGGGGAGGGTGCCTGGAGCCTCACAGGGGCTGAGCCCTAACCAGAGCCAGGGGCGCAGGCTGCAGGGTCCGTTGTCTCTTGGCCCAACCTACCCCCCTCCACCTGCAGGAGAGCCTGACCTTGGCCTTGCTGGTGGCAGAGAAGTGCTCATGGACAAAGAGGGCACCGAGTGCCATGC